GCAGGGATGGATTTAATAGTTCAGTCCCCCTTTCATTCAAAGTCACAGACAGATTTGCCAGATTCTAAATCTGAATTAAGTTCTGCTTCCCACTTCCAACCAGCACCTCCTCTGAATGGTTTCCTGGCAGGAGATGGCAGGCTTCATTGCTGTCTCCCCAGTTTTAGAAGAAAGGCGGCTCTTTGGCCATTACTTTTTGCCCTAATCCCACCCTGTCCCTAACTTAAGGCTTTCCTTACTAAAGGAAGTACTCCCCTCTCCCTCCTTCCCCACCGAAAATTAATCATGGTGCTGCAAGTAACACATTCCCTTCCATAATGCTAGTTTAATGACATGAATTAGCTGAACCAAAGTTTACCCTATACGAGAAGCCATCATTTCAACAAGAATTTAGGATCTGCATGGGGATAATTTGAGAAATGGAAATTTGAACATCCTCTATGAATAAGTTGGACTACATCAAGCCTGACCTGTCGCCAGTTCCTCATCCTGACTTGAAAAACTTGCAAGACCCTATTTTTTTTTTCCTTCTGTTCAAAAAGTAACAACAATAAGGGAGTTAAAAACTTCGTTTTGCTTTTATAGTCTCATCTTGCAGCACTTTTACCAAAGTGTGTATAATCATGTAAGTGGATTCCCTGCTTGTGAAAGAACACAAGAAAGGCCAGTCTGGTTTTGTCTGTGGTCCATACTTGGATATCTTGTCTCTGATGATAGAGTCTTTGAATTCTCCTGAGTACTCTGCTATCCTGTACCTTCAACTTGAGGGACGTCTGGAGACTGATGCAGTTTGTCTGTTTACTAAAAGGACCTGACGGTGTTGGTGACCAGCTGGCTAAACATGAGCCAGCAGTGTGCCCAGGTGGCCAAGAAGGCCAACAGCATCCTGGGTTGCATCAGGAATAGTGTGGCCAGCAGGACCAGGGAAGTGATTGTCCCCCTGTACTCGGCACTGGTGAGGCCGCACCTCGAGTACTGTGTTCAGTTTTGGGCCCCTCACTACAAGAAGGACATCGAGGTGCTGGAGCGTGTCCAGAGAAGGGCAACAAAGCTGGTGAAGGGTCTAGAGAACAGGTCATATGAGGAGCGGCTGAGGGAAGTGGGGTTGTTTAGCCTGGAGAAGAGGAGGCTCAGGGACCTTATTGCTCTGTACAACTGCCTGAAAGGAGGCTGTAGTGAGGTGGGGGTCAGTCTCTTCTCCCAAGTAACAAGTGACAGGAAAAGAGGAAATGGCCTCAAGTTGCACCAGGCCAGGTTGGGTTGGATATTAGGAAAAACTTCTTCACCAAAAGAATAGTCAGGCACTGGAACAGGCGGCCGAGGGAAGTGGTGGAGTCCCCATCCCTGGAGGGATTTAAAAGACGGGTAGATGGGGACATGGTTTAGTGGTGGACTTGGCAGTGCTAGCTTAACGGTTGGACTCGATGATCTTAAGGGTCTTTTCCAACCTTAACGATTCTATGATTCTGATTCTATTCTAAACCTCACTCAGTCTCTTGTTCAGTACTTGTTCAGTCTTCCATGGAATACAGATAAACTCTTTGTATCCGTAACATCTTTCCCAAGGAGATCTACAAGTCTACCAGCTGTTGCACAAAGAGCCTTTTACTGTCAGCCCTCCTTGTCTTTTGTTGGCTACCATGCACTCTCATCATCCAGCTTTTCAGTGAAGACATATGCAGTACATTGACATGGGCTGTGAAGTCTATAAAGCTGTACGTCTTCTGAGCAGAACCCCTCGAGTGACCTCTACCATGGGCTCTGTGAACACTGACCTGCGCCTTGTGAAGAAGTGCACAAGGAATCTATGTGAAAGTACCTCGGAATCTGTGTGAAAGTACCTCCACTGTGTTAAAAGAAAGTTCCTCTGCATTTTGTGAGGAGCTTGAACCCATCTGAGGGTGTTGGCATGCTCTTGGGAAGCCCTCCCAAGCAGAACCCTTCCGGGAGCTCACCTGGAGCAATGGTTTATTTCCAGCTCAGATCTGAGCTAAGAGGGAAGGCAGGGCTGTCCCCGCTGAGCCGCTCGCAGCCGGCGCGGAGGCAGAGCGCTCAGGTCCCCGGGGGAACTTGTTCAGGCACCGTGGTTAGATACACAGCTGAGTGGAGCACAGCTTTAGATGTTGGTGTTGTAGTTCTGCCTAAGCCTTGCTGAAGGCACTTGAAAGTCCTATAATCTTTAGCGATACTATTAATAAGAGGCAAAAATTGCCCTTGCACTTAGTTTTATAGAGAAAAGAACAAACCAAAACAAATGCAGAGACCTAACAGACCATCTAAGTCAATGCTCTTTCATTCTTTCTAGGTGTGATACAGGGCATAAGTGAGCAGAAGTACATCCACTTCACGCAGTTCATTTTCCAAATAACTCTGAGCTGTCTACTAAAAATATATGTCTAATCCTTAATCTACTCTGACTGTCATATTTAAGTCAAATATTTTGCATCTGTAAGACGTTTCAGGTGCTGGTGAACAACCTACCACATTCACATGCCCAGAAGTTTTACCCAGTTGATGGCCTAAACTTTCTGCTTCAAAATTTTGTCTTATTTGTCAGGAATACTTTCTTTTAAAATATGACTGGAAATAATAACTCACCTTAATAGTAAAACTATTCAAATATTTGTAGACCATATTTTAACAAATATCATCCTTTTCTCAGATGTTAGACAATCACATAACATGATATCATATGTATCATATGTATCTTTAGAACTTTTTGTGTTACTTTTTTCTTTTGTTGCTGTTTTCTAAAGCCTCTCTAGTATATCAACCTTTTTTTGGTAATGAGAAAACAAATTTCAAATTATAGATACCAAACATACAGAAAAAATGACTGCTGTCTCTCCCATATATTCACCCAGTTTTTGTGAGGTACAGCCCAAAGTTACAGATGCTTTTTAATCATCTCCATTACAGGGAATACATACAGATAATTAAATATAATGGCTTCAATCATCAGCTAGTATAAATTAGCATATCTCTGCAGAAGTGAGTTACAACAGATGAGGGTACTGACTGCTGTGTATAAGCACCCAGTAACACATGGAGGGCTGTTTTTCAGTACTCCAGTTCATAGATACACTCTATGACATCGTTCTATATAGAAGTGCTTGGTAAATGATGCACTGCATTTTCAATACTAACCTACTTCCTTCCCTGGCTAATGCATTTCTTTGGCATAACTGTTTTCAAGATTATTTTTTAAAGAAAATAGGTTGTACTAGCTTCTACTTCTCCAAATTGAATCCCATTTTTGTCACCCACTTCTGCTCTTTCTAGAACCACGTGAATTATTTTAATGTACTCATTTGTGTTTGCAGCTGCTTTACAGCAAAAAGACGCTTAAGAAAACCTGAAACAGATCTTTATGGCACCTTTATTTAATACTTCACAAAATGTGACACCCCTCCTTTATGGTCTTAGATAATTTTGCGAAACCATGGGTCATTTTTCATATCCAGGCTATTTGAATTAATCTGAGGGTAAGATCCTATTGTCTTCGCATTCGAACTGTTCAGAGAGACGCTCCATGGACTCTATTGCTGGGAACGTAGAAAAGATCTTTCTAAACATTAGGACAAACAATGCCTCCCTGTTATCTAAATAAAACCATTTCAAATGCTGTTTGCTGTGGCTAAATGAATTTAGACATGCCAAGAAACCTCAGCCTTATCTAGCTGTGCACTTACCTACTGTAATGTGACTACTGCTGCTAATTATACCTCTATGTTCAAATTGTTATAAAACACTATATGAAATGTGATGAACTGAAAATCAGAGGGAGCTACTGTTATGGAAAGATATGTCACTCTGTACAGTTCATCCCAATTCCAAAAGTTTTGAGGCTGCATCCTCTTTATAATCATAAGATAAAATGGAATTAACTCTTGGCTAAATTATAATTTCAAATAATGACTGTTAACAGAGATTGTGCATCTCATTTCAGTTGGAGAATACTTACATATAGCTATATATTTATGCTGGTAACGAGTGCCTGCGTCCAGTCCTTGGTAGGGTGTCGCTTCCTTTAAAATGTCTCTTCTCACCTTCTCCATCTTCCCCTATTGCTCATGATTAGAGACTTACAATCATTTTTTAGTCCCCGTTTCTTTCTCTCTTTCCATTCTAACAAACATTTTTTCTTCTTCTAGAGCAATTAAAAACCTTTTCAACCAGAGGAGGGAGTTCCAAAATTCCTTCCAGTGAATGCTCTGGAACGTAGGGGGCTCAAAAGTAGAAAATATCTGTTGCCAGTCCTGGAAGTCTCATGCCAAAAAAGAATAAATGCGTTATAAAGAGCTTTTCAACCTCTGTGTGAGAGAGATGCTGGAGGTAGAAGTGTTCCTTGCCAAGACTGTAACAAGTGTGTGTTTGCCCAGTTCAGTTACTTTTGGACAGTTCTCGTCAGGGAGTTTCCTTTCTTAGTCTGTTACCTGTTGACTTCTGCAAGCACAAAGAATTATGATTATCTGTACAAACGTTTCTATCAAAGAATTTTTCTGCAAGGAATGCAAAAGGATACGCTTGTACATTGGCAAGCTTAGGCTCCAGGCTTCTCGACATCTGCCTACATATTTCAGTTTGAAATAATTGATTAGAACAAAGCGAAGTGCGTGTTTGTATAAAACTGAAGGACTCAGACTTTAACACCAACAAGTATTTGACAAATAAATATAGTTTATTCTGTGAACATGTGCCACAGTTTGCTAATAAAGAGTACTTTGCAGAATAATTCAGCATTCAAAATTCACACTAGAGATGTTGGCTTCAAGAATGCTTAGAAAGTGACTCTTGAACGTAAGAAAAAAATGAAAAAGGAACATTTTTGTGTGTAGAAGGTAAATTAATCAATCCAATTAGTTTTAAAAAAGCAAAGATATTTCATAAAACTTACAGTAAATAAATACACATTGCCACATGGAAAAGTAATCAATTTGCAAATAAAGTGAAAATGTATTTTAATTTTCCTTTTTCCGTTTTATTTTTTTCCTTCACAGATCAATAACACGCTCTTATTATCGCAATTCTGTGGGTGGCTTACTAGTGTTTGACATCACAAATCGACGATCTTTTGAACATGTGAAGGACTGGCTAGAAGAGGCAAAAATGCACGTGCAGCCCTTTCAGATTGTGTTCCTGTTAGTAGGACATAAATGTGACTTAGTGTCACAGCGTGAGGTTACGAGAGAAGAAGCTGAAAAACTGTCATCTGACTGTGGTATGAAATATATAGAAACTTCAGCAAAAGATGCCACGAATGTTGAGGAGTCCTTTACAATTCTTACACGAGACATCTATGAACTTGTAAAAAAAGGAGAAATCTCAATACAAGATGGATGGGAAGGTGTCAAGAGCGGCTTTGTTCCAAATGTTGTACATTCGTCAGAAGAAGCTGTAAAGCCCAGAAGACAGTGCATCTGCTGAATCTGTAGCATGCCAAAGAGCACATCGGGTGTTCAAAAGATGATGCCAACCTAAATAACAGAATAATAATTTTGAAACAATATTAGATCATGACGTAGCTGAATCATAGAACGGTAATTTGTTTTTGTATCCTTCTGTCTAGGTCATAACTTCATAAAACTTTAAGTGCTTTTTTTCTTGTCAGAGTACAATAACTTTGTGTGGTCTTCGGGAAAAGAAATTATGTATTGCTAAAGGAAAAACTAATCCTATAGCAAGACACTGAGAAAGCGCAATAATCATCGTGACAACATCCTCTCTTGGGCTTTGTATTTTGAATACTGTTTAAAATCAAGGCTTGCTAGGTGAGGATCAGATGAGCTCATTACTTTTGTTCATCCTGCCTTAGTTTTGGACAAGGAAGTAGTATACCTTATACTTTTTTAATGTGATTCTTTACTCAAGTGCAGGGTTGCTAATGACCATTAAAGTTTAGAATGCTGTAGAATTTCATAATAAAAGATAACTCTAAAGAAAGCAAGCTGAAAGATTGCTCCAATAGCAAACACTTTTGATATGACTATGACTACAAGCCTTACTAAAGAAAAAGAATGTTTTAGAAAAGATGATTTATTTGTATACGAAAATGGGGAATAGAAGCAATGAAATTTATTATTAAATATTTTCTGAATTGCCAATGAAACTAAATGTAACATCACATATGATCCAGCTGTTATTTGACTTGTATACAAAACAGATTTCCCAACCACTGGAGTTATATTTCGGAGGCCGGATCCTCAGCTGGGTAATTATCATAGCCACACTGATGCCTAGGGAATTATGTTAATTTACACAAACAAATTCCATATTAGCTTTAAAAAATAAATCTACTTCTAACTAGAAGTAAAAATAAGTTAAAAAGTGCTGCAACCCATGGGGACCCAGGCCTTAAATTTGAATAGAGCAAGGATTGTTTTATTCTCAGCCAGAAAATGTTAAACTGTTGTCTAAAAAATGAAGGTTTTAAAACCAAAACCGTTATGAATAGAGTGTTTGGAGAGAAGAGAATTTCTAAAATAATGCTTGGCTATGGAGAGCAAAGTTGGAGAACCCCTATTCCAAGAAAGCAACACATAATAGCTTTTAATAACAATAATAATAGGAGAAATCTGTGATCACGTAGCATTTTACTGAGCTTGAGGTCATCTTCCTGCTCCTCTGAATATAACACACACTAGCTTTATGCAAACTATGCCCTATATGTCTAGCACTTAAATACCAAATAAGTCTACTTCTATTTTATTGTAGTAGTGTAACAAGATGACTTGATCTCCAGAGTTGATAAGCATCTACAGCTTATCTGGGCATACTCATAACCACCGAACATCAAGCCAGTTATCTTCATATAAAGGTGTGTTCTCGTGTTACAATTCTCCATTTTCAACAAGTCTATCTAATCTAACCTTTTTCTTCAACAAACATGTAATTGGTTTTCTCTCAGGTTACTTTCAGGTCCTTTTACAATTTACAATGTAAATATTCCATAGTAAAAAGACAGGTTGTTTGGTTCCAGTTATTTTATTGATTTAGGGCCACTAAAATTATTGACTTCAACAGGAACGGAAAGGTTAATTTTTTTCAATAGCCTGAGTCTCTCTTGCACTGAGGCACAGTTACACTGTCATAGAAGGATACAGAGGCCTTAACATAAACAGGAATCAGCCTTAATTCATTAGCAATTAAAACAGTTAGTTAATTCTAGTCTCAGCATGCCAAAATGTAATTGCTGTGAGCCTGATTCTCTATTGAACTACATATATTAGTCGTTTACACCAAATCAATTTTGATTTGAGGGCATTTTAGGCCCTCTTTGCGTAAACTAAGTGACTACAGATGCCAAAAGGTAGTGCAGAATCGGGCTGTGTGCATTTCACACGGATCCCCCTATGATACTAGGCCCATGTTGTGTATCTCAGAAGATCTTCTCTTAGTTGTTTAAGAGGACAGAATGGGCCAATGAATAAATTGGTAGCTGGGGAGTAAACAGACCCAAAGTCTACCACTGGTTCACTGTGCGTTTCTGAGCAAGGCATTTACGTTTTATGTGCCTCACCTTCTGTATCTCAAAAATAGAGATGATCGTTCTTCCTCGAATTCACAAGGACTGCTGAGACCCAATCTGACTCTACGATCTTCAGTCTGGACTCTTTTCTCTGTGTGCTACCTGTTGTAGAGTGTTTAGCACCATGGGATGTGGATACTGGTTTCTTCTGCCATACCAAAAAAAAAAAAATTAAAAATATTACAACAGCTTTATAAGTACCAGGTAATGCTATTACTATGAATCTACATTTCATGACACATTTCATTACTTTCAGCTTAAAATCTTTTTATCTTAAACTTTTCTTCCTGAATATTCTGGAGCCAATGAGCTTTTCATTCTGTATGAAAAAAATCGGGTGCGTTGGAGGGGAAGGGGACTGGGAGAAGAGTGGCGTGGAGGGGAGGTACACACAGAGAAATAAACAATCATCAGAACAGAGCCTTAATGATCTCTGCCGTCAATGTTGTACCTGTAGTGTCACATTTATTACACTGGGAATAGAGCTTTTAACCAGATTCAACTGTGTAAGGAACTGGTACTGTCAATGCAACTAGAAGAGAAGTTCACTGCATTTTAAAGTACTGTGCACATAGTTGTCTTACTTGTCATTCCTAAAAATGTAGATTAACATGTACATTCAAACATTGTCTCTCTTGATGATATATTAAACCACTACTGTACCTTCTCACTACACACTTGCAGTTAATAGAAATGTCTGATAAACAGATGATTTGCTGAAATACATCGTTTTGTTTTCAGATGCTTTGCAGTACAGTATATAAGTAACAGCTTGAATAGGCTGTAGAACGGATTCTAGTTCAGTGCACGTATATTCTTTTTTTCTCCCAAGGAAGGGCAAATACGACGCTTACTGTTGATACCAGAATGACATTTCCAGAAATTACAGAAATTAGAGAAATCTCATTTGGCAGCCAAATTAGTAAGTAGAAATTATTTATTAAGAAAACCCCACAACTTTTGCAAATTAAAGTTTGGTAAATCCCAGTTAGGAAAAGGAAAAACTGTTGAAATAGTAAACAGTTTGTATTTGGATTCATAGGCCTGGCAAACAAATGGATACCAAGTATTGGTTTGGACTCCTAAAATGTTTAAATTTTCATTGCTTTTATTTTAAGTTGGATAAAGAAGAATAAAAACCTTCCTCTACTCATTTAAATATTTTACACATGAATTCTTCAGATATTTTGGCTTGCTTATAATTGCATCGGTCCTGTGTAAGAAGCAGAACCTAGCCGCACACCTTAGGAATCGACCAAGGAAAAAATGTTGAGGTAGCGTATGTTCATACTATTCATTTATGCCTTTGGTATGTGACAGACTTACCAATCTAACTTCAATCTAGGTGACTCAATTCCTGTGCTCACAGAAAATAAAGCAGGCTTGACTGAGCACCCAAGTACACTGCAGTTGCCCTGTGCCACAGCCAAACCGTTACCGGAACCCAAGCTGCCTAACTTAAAGCAAAGATATGTGGATGCACCGTGCTTACAGATATGTCAGTCTCAGTGTTTCAGCTCCCTTAGAGAAGACATGCTTCGTTGTCCTCCTTTTACATAATTAACAACCAGGGAGAGCACTTTTCCCCAGCTGTAGACCCCGGCACATCAGCCCCTCCAAGCCTCCACCCTTGCCTTTCGCCCAGAGCTGGCACAGCAATCTCAGCAGCCTTTATTCAGCGTCAAGACAGAAAGAAGGAGGGCTGAAGGTTTACTTTCTACATGGGCATGGAACCATACCACAAACATGGCGGACTGCTTAAGAAATCATTAAACATCAAAACACAATTGTCACGAGCAAACACTTGCATTGCTCATTTCTCATTTCTCAGAGTCCAAAGACAATCTTGTAAATAAGTGAATGAAATTAAAAGAGGAATCTGTAAAATATAAATCTCTCTAAAAAGCCTAAGGGGTAGGACTGCACAACAAAATACACAGATTCTAAATGAGAAAAAGTCCAAGCATTTGTGTAATGATCCTTTGCTCTAGTACTTACCTGTATGTGGTAGCACTTAACGATGCCTAGGTTTCTTAAGAATAATGATGGTATCATTGAATGTATTTAAAACTAGAAAAATTCAACCAAAAATTCATCTGCCTGATCCTCAGAGAAAAAAAAAATTACCGTATCTCATGAATGCCTGTATACTTACTTCCCAGCTCATTTCTAGCAGCATTTCATCTGGGTTAAGTGCTATGTTGTGTGAGGCTCCCCTCTGAAAACCGACTACCTACATATGCTGTCATTTTACTCAGCAGTATTTCCTCCTCTGCAAAGTGAATACAGCTGTGGAAAAGCTGAATTTTACTTTTGAGTATGGCAGAATTGTTTATCGCGTTTCAATGAATGTGCAAATCTGATTAAAGTAATGCAATTGAAGACGTGCCAGTTGAGCATAATATAAAGACTATGAAGTTGTACAGGTTCCCAAAGACAATTTGCCTTGCATAATACTTAATTAGTGGGAACGTAGCATATGTGTGAAGAAAACAAAGTTGGTTCTGCAAACCAAAAAATACTTTCCTAAGCAGCACTTTTGACATGGAAGAGCTGGCTCTATAGGCACAGGACTCCACAGAGCAATCATTTCTCTTCATGGAGTTGCTGCTCCCACAAGCAACCAGGGGAACAGCAAACACGCAGCTAAAATGCTTCCAGGAAAAGAACTCGATAGCACAAATCCCCCAAAATATAATATACACACTGTGGGCTTTTTACCCCTGGGGAGACAGGGAACAGTTGTTGGCAGCCAACGCCACCACAGCACTTGCATGAGATCTCCTACCACGACTGCCCATCGCCCACAGAGGCCAGACAGGAATGGGGAGTAGCAGGCTCTTCATGGAGGGGGAGGTAAATCTTCATTTAAACTCAAACTGAGGAATCCAAAATCCCA